TCTCTCCCCCCTCGAAGGAGATTCAGTTTGGTGTCTTCTTTCCCCTCACTCGTGGGAGGCCCGCTGTAACTGCGTGAATGTTACAAGGCAACACAAGATTCCTTTGTACAGCACTTCACATCACTTCTCAGCCTCTCTTAGCCTCTTCAGTTTTTACAAAAAACAAAGGTTTCCAGTAACTAACTATGAGCATCTGAAAAGGTTTTGGGACACATGCAGCATCTCTGTAGGAGCTTCATCCAGCTTTTGCAAGTATTGGAGAACATTATTGACCTCTAGCATAACCTGTCAAACTCTACTACTCATTTCTGAAGCATTAGGTTTTAATCTGTTCCCCAGGAGTGTGAATCTGACATACATATATAGCTTTTAATTGTTAAAGTGTTAGACTAGGAGTATGGGGATTCAGATTTTAGTCCACCCCTGCCATGAAAGGCCACTGGGTGCCTTTGGGCCAGTAATTCTTTCCTAGCCCAACAAACTTCACAGGATTCATATTGCGGGGAAAAATAAGAGGAGGAAGCACTACTGATGTTGTCTTGTACTTCTGAATGAAAGGTAAGATAATAAATAGAATGAATAAATAGAATTTGGACTCCAGCAAATAACTGGATCTAGATGGAAGAGGCTCTTTCAAGGTTGAATACCCTCCTCACAGCTTTCTTCATTTCTTTGTTCCTCAGACAGTATATAATAGGGTTCAGCACTGGTGTTACCACACAGTAGAGCACTGAAGCCAAGGTGTCCATAAAGAGAGAATGGCTGCTGCTGGGCCTGTTGTAATTGAACATGCAGGTGGCATAAAACAAGGTGACCACAGTGAGGTGTGAGGTACAGGTGGAGAAGGCTTTGTGGCGGCCTTGGGTGGAGCGGATCTTCAAGACTGCCATTACAATGTGGGCATAAGAAACCATGATGCAAAAAAAGGGACTGATCCCAAGGATCATGGTCACTGCCAGCAGTATCATTTGATTAGGGAAAGTGTCCACACAAGACAGCTTGAGGAGCTGGGGGACATCGCAGAAAATATGTTCAAGGCTATGAGAAGCACAGAAGGGGAGTTGGGCCGTCATGACAGTGTGTAGGATTGAATTGAGAAAACCACAACCCCAGGAGGCCACTGCCATTCCACTACACACTTTACTATTCATGATGACTCCATAACTGAGGGGATAACAGATGGCGATGTATCGGTCATAGGCCATCGTGGCCAGAAGGAGACACTCAACTCCTACAAAAGCCACAAGAAAGTATAGTTGGGCCAGGCAGCCCTGGATGGAAATAGTCTTTGTCTCTGCCAAAAGATTCTTAAGCAAGTGGGGTAGCGTAACAGATGTGTAACAAATGTTGAGGAATGATAGGTGCCGGATAAAAAAGTACATGGGAGTTTGAAGGCCAACATCCAGCCATGTGGTGGTCAGGATAAGTCCATTTCCAAGCAAGGTAGTGATATACATAGTGAGAAACAGGATAAAGAACAAAGCTTGGGGATCAGGGAAGTTGGAGTAGCCTAGGAAAACAAATTCTCTTCCTTCAGCAGTTTGATTTCCAATATGCTCCATGTTTTACATCTGAAATGAGGAAGAGGACATGGTGAAAAACCAAGAAATAAAACATAGCTGGACATTTTGCACACTTCTGCCCACACAACTGTTCAAATCTTTTCCAGCACCATTCACATATATTTATCTTATTTGGCATCTCTGTGTCATGTAATATAGTCATATGTTTTCCACAAACAAGCAGGCACAGAAAAAGTTATAAGAATGGAACCTATTATAACTATATGTAAATAATTTCCTCCTTGTGGCTTTAACAGGTTGTAAAGAGTTCTAGATACACTTACCTGACAGTAAACCCCTTTACACTCAAGGAAACCTATTCCTGAGTACTGCAACTGACAAGATTGCACTGATGGCATTGAAAACATATTGCAACACTTTCAACTGTTTTAATAAGAATGTTCCTATTATTTTCTAAATCAATTTTGAAAAATAAGTCTAATGAAATGGAGGTTGGTCGGATTCCTCCACTGCTGGATTAAAGTACTCTGTACCCATCTTTGAATTTGCAGGAAACTAACCCTTAATAAAACATGCTGTCCCCTTTGCCAATTCTTAGTCTACTACTGTTGCCCTTGTTTCAAGTCACTGCAGGCATTTGAAACCTAATAGATTTTAAACACCTTGAATTTTTCCATGGATAGGTTTGGAATGAAGGGGAAAAACAGAACATTAACCCCAGTACAGCTGAGGACAACTTAAATCCGTCTCACTCATGGGCTGGGCAGAATATGAAGGTGGGATCCCCACTGGTAATTCACAGTCTTTTACGATCATCCAGTCATTTTTAGATGGATATAACAGTAATGAGGATAGGCTTTGTAACACCTTTACAATGGCCAGGTGATGGTAGAAGATGCTATAAACAGCCACATGTGGGACAGTGGCCTATGGCAATGTCATAAGAGCAGGATAAAAAAAGACATTGCCAGGGTATGGTCTCCCATAACCCCATGATTCCTGGTTGTAAGAGTGAGAAAAGTCGAGAGAGAACAGATAGTGAAATGGTGCAGATGCTATATGTGGATGGCCATTAACATGGAGATAATATTATTAAAAGAAGGTAAAAGTCTTCAGATATTTGAAGGGGCATCATGTGGAAGATGGAGCAGACTTATTCTCCATTGTTCTACAGGGCCCAGCTAGGGGTGGAAATGGTTGGAGAGAAGATTCAGCTAGATAAATGGGAAAAAAATTCTTGAATGTAGAATGGGCAACCTTGGTGTTTGTGGATTCTGCTTTTCAGGAAGTCTGGAAACTCTGATGCCAGAGTTTCAGATCCTATACTGCACGGTTCCCCAATATCGACGGGTGGATGGGACTATCCAAGGAGTTGAGTATTAGTATTCATAGTACTATTAGTTAAAGTAGTATTTATTAAATTATTTTCATATAATCAATGTTTGGGGGTCGATGAACAATCTGAAACTTTGTGAAGGGATCGATGGTCTGAAGAGTTTGGAGATCTCTGCTCTACTGAACAGGATACTGAACTGGATTACCTCTGAGGACCCTTATCAGCGTTGCAATTTTACATCAAGCACACTATTAACTTCAAACATCTCTGCTACCACATGCACTGGTGATGTGATATAGACTAACTTTCCATCCTGATCTATTGGGAATGCAACCCCGGTGGCTGGATTGACTGGCAGTTCTGGGAATCAGCATAACTGGTGTTAGTCTGGTGTTGAATTTTGCTTTGTAATAACATGAATAATGATCCTACACCCTAAGCACAAACAACAAAATGAAATATGAACATAGCACATGACAAAGAAAGTGCATGCATGAAGGGGAAAAAGAGAAAAAGGTACTTAGTCCAGCAGATAAAAAGAAGGAAGGCAGGCTATAGTGTGAAAATATATTTACCAGTCACTTTTGTAATAGTCAGCTCGCTTCTGGATTTTTTCAGAACACCAAATAAACCTATGCATACTTCAGTTCTTATTTTACAGTATATCCAAACTGCCGCAATGTATTTTTAAATTTGATAGCTAGAATATAAAGATATCCCAGTGCCTTTGGGATTATTTCACTCAGAGGAATGTGGTAATCTTAGACAATTCCCAATCCAGTTTTACTATTTTTCTCCCAAGTTATAACATCTCTTGATTGAACTCAGAAGACTTCACAGTCAGCCCAGCTCAGTCTGGGAATTATAGCAAACATTCTGATGAGTTTAATTAATTTTTAGATAATATAAATCCTTTGCATAGTTTACCTGAGCAGTGATTTATGCAGTTTTGCACCAAATTGTACAACAGTGACAGACTGCTCAGATCACAATTTTATGGGCCTTTCCAGCTGAGTGGAAAGCTGAAAGAGTAGAATAGTAGAATAATGGGGCCAAATTCCCTCTCATCCCAGATAGAATCTGGAAATTGGAATTTGTTGCTTATATAAAGAAAGAAAAAGAAGGAATGACGCATCCTAAATAAAAGTGTTGTTTGGGACTCAGCTCCTTTCATGACTGGTCTATTACTTCATTCAACTTGGTTTATAACAGAATGGGATACAGGAATAGTACAGGAAGGAGCCTAGACATGACGGGGAGAATCCTGAATTCACATCCTTCTCATTCCTGCTGCAGTGCCATGCTTGCAAATGTTTTTTTCAGACATGTTATAGATGGAGGACAGCAAAGCTTAAGGAATGAACTTTGTCTGTCATGCATTGTGCAGGCATAATCAGGACAGAACTTGGAACAGATGCAATACGTGCAATGTAGGGATCAATAAAACGAGTACCAAATTTGGTGCTGGTTTTCTGCTGACTCAAGGATGGATAGATAATACTTTAACTGAGCAGTGGGGAAAGGTTTACAGATCTTAACATGTGCCTCAATATCTTAGGTGACTGTGGGTGTTATCCCGAACAGGAGTCACCGTGCGAAGTGATCAAGTGATAGGTTGGCAGCACAGATGTGCTCTGCACCAGTGACCTGTCACTCAGGGTATTTCTAAACAGGTGTCTATTGGACTTCTGGAACACTGGCATTTCCATGCCCCAAAATATCACAGTTGACAGATCAGCGAGGCATAGTAAGCCCGAGAGGCTCTGGAAACTTGTGGTTGTGGAGCTAAGGAAGTCATCCAACCAAATTACACATGATGTTCTTCATGATTTTAAAATACCATATTTAAAAACTGGCAATATCTATTTTGAAAATTAGTGCTGAAGGCATGATCTGGGACATACTTCCAATCAGAAGATGAAATTTGAGCAATATCCTGCTGAAAACACCCCTCCTTAGCTGTTAAGAATTTCACCTTTACTAAATGTTCAGAGAGTCATGCTGTTGTTGTTATGACTTATTATTTCTTCTACACGTTTTAAATTAATCTCACATTGTTCTAAGACCAAGTTGGAAATTGCCAAGATTTCAATATGGGCTTTGTCCTTGTAGCAGAAAGTCTGCATCGTTTTGAGTTAAATAGAAAGTACCCTGACTTTTTAATTACATCCTAGTATTTCGTTTTTCTTCCTATTGTCTTTCCTTTTCAATTTTGTTTCAGTTCTACTGCCCTTCCAAAGCCTATTAAACCAGAAAAGTAATTTTACACACCAAAGTCTCTTCCAGATGAAGGTGCAAAACAAGGGAGGTATTTCATAACAACAAGCACAAAAACACAAGCAATTTACTTTTTTGCATTTAAAAAGATGGAACGGATATATGTTGCTATATTTAGGGAAGAAACATAAGGGGAGAGATTGGTCCTTTTTGTTAGCAGGCAAGGCCACTGATTGGCTGATAGCTCTCAATACTCTGCTATTGGCCTGGAAAGGCAATTGCTGATTGGCTGCTTTTTCTCCACAAGCTCTGTACTCTTGCAAAAATGTAAATATGTTTACAGATAGTCCTCATTTAGCAACCACAATTGGGACCGGCAACTCGGTCATTAAGCGAAGCAATTGCTAAGTGAAATTGCAACTGTGCTTATGATCTTACTTCAGCTTTCCTTTGCTTTACAGATCTGTGAAGGTTGTAAACGCAAAGATTGGTCACAAAGTTACTTTTTCATCACCACCATAACTGTGAATGGTTGCTATTTAAGAATTTTGATTATAATAGTAAAATCTAATACAAACTAAAAGAAAGAGAAGAAAGGATTAAAGGTGCAAGGAAAAAGAAAAAAGAGAGAAGAAAGAAAAAAGAAAGAATATAATAAAGAAAGAGAAAAGAAATATATAAAGAAGTGACTTCCAACCTTCATCACAATAAGTATAAACAAATTTAGTGGCTCTTTACCCCCTCTAATGTTACAAACAATTATCTCTTCATCCCGTAGACAAATTATCTATAGACAAATCCATAAAGCATCATCTTTTCAGTCCTCGTGTCAGCAGAAAATCCATAAAGGCCAGGAGTAACAGCATATCTTGTTTTAACCTTGATCAAATAAACCAACTTTACATTCCTTCATTTTACTTCTAACAGTCTTAATCTTTACTTCATTCAAATATTTTCATAGGATTTAATTTCTCTTTATTTTTTTTTGTCCCATCACACAGAGTTCTTCGAGGTTTTAACAAGCCCCTTTAGTAAATCCAATAGGAAAAAATTGTCCAGGTCACTCTCTTGGTTTATTTCCCTTTTGAATTTTAAAGTCTCAGCCAGTTTCTTTTATAGATCCAGTGAAACATTATTTTCTAAGTCATTCTCTTGGCCTGTCAGTTGTAAATCCACTTTCGATACAGATGTAGAACAATCTGTCATTTCTTCAATAACATCTTTTGGAGATAGTCTTTCCATAGAAACAGACTTCATTACTGAAATTGTTGATACTGACATTGTGGCTGCTATTTTCTGGTTCCATTCTTCAAAAGTCTCCTTCAGTATTTTCATTGTTATACTGTTTTGCATTTTATAGGCTTGCATTTTTTCCCTCTACCTAAAATCTTTAGTCCTCTCTAGTGTCGAGTTTTTAAATCATGAAATTATTTATCTCTGTTATGTCTTCCAAAAACCAAAACAAAACTATTTCCCATGACAAGCT